AATATATCCCCATTACATCCCCATTGCATTCCCATAATAATATCCCCATTCTATCTTCACTATGTCCCCCATTACTGTATATCCCCATTACATCTTCATTATATCCTCGTCATATCCGCACTGTATCTCCCATTATATCAGCCAGTAAATTCACCATGATCCCCATTATAATATGGATGTTTCCTAAATAAATGGTACCCCAAATCATCCAGAATTAGAGCATGACTTAGTATTCTGGTTGATGGTTTGGAACCATGGAATTTTATGACTTTCCATTCAGTTGGGAATGCCATCATCCCAACTGACGAAGTCATATTTTTCAGAGGGGTGGCGAAAAACCACCAACCAGTATTGAAACTGAATGCTGAACTGACGTTTTCAGACCGTGGAGGTCCTTGCGCTGGCGATTCGAGAAGATGGCAGTGAGTTTCAGCAGGCGATCCTCCGTTTTTTTTTGAACGGTACAAAGGCAAAGATATGATCAAATATTATATAGACAATAGATGATGATTGGATTACTATCACTGATATTACATGATAATAGATGATGTATATATATGGAGGCTTTCTGATTTATGGGGGTACTCCAAATCATCCAAGTCGTTAAACCATGACTTAGTATTGACACCCATAGCTGAACATTTAAAAAAAACATGGACCCATCTTGACATGTTGACTATACTTGACCCGAAATTCTTCGTTGATGGTTTCGGGCCGATTTGGCGCCAGACGTATGACTTGCCCAAGAACTGCGATAAGCTTGGAAGTCGGGGAGCTCGGGGAGCTCCAGTCGATCCCAACTGAGCAATGCAAAGCCACTTTTGAAACCTGGTCAGAAGGTGTCCTTTTTGCTGAGAACCAGCATCTTTGGTTATATCAAATACCAAATTGTCTTGGTTAGATTGCCATACATTTGCATATCAGTCTCCAGCCTTTCTGTTCAAATCGTAATGCACTCGTTCGTTGTATCTTGATTGTTGCAGCCCATATTTGTTTGTATAATCGCCATCGTAGTTTGTTATCCTAGCAATGTGAGTAAAGCAACAGCACAGCTGTACGTTTCGCTGCACGTTTCGCCTACGAAGCTGCAGGAACCACCAAGTGCTGTGCCTGTGGAGAATTGCAGAAATTCCCTGGTGGCTTGACGGCACCGGTTTTGCTGTACGGCCCTGGTGCTTTCGAGATGGTCATGCCTCCATTTCTGGTGATTAGAAACCCCAGAAATGGTGGGTTTTCTTACACATTTGATTCTTCATGTCTGATCATGTCTCTGCTTCTTTCACTGGAGTGATATCACTCAGGTTTCATTCTGAAGCTGCGAACGAAAAACCACATTTCAATCCCGGGGAAATGCGCAGTTTCAACCCCAGTTGAGTTCGGGGGTCACCCATGATATATCCAGGATCATAATCCATGGAGATGCGCAAACTAGCCATACCCCCAGTTATGGTCGTCAAAGAAGAGGGAACACTGCATGACGAATTGGCGGTGCTCCTATTTTTGGACAACAACAGGAATTTCATGTACATAATATACGTACATATATATATATATATGTATACTGTATACATATATACACATATGTATGTATATATATATACATAATAATATACATAATAATATATATAAATAATATACATATATATAAATAATATATATATATATAAATAATATATATATATATAAATAATATATATATATATATATATATAAATAATATATATATATAAATAATATATATATATAAATAATATATAATATATAATATATAATATATAATATATAATATATAATATATAATAGATATATAATATATAATAAATATATAATATATACTATATAATATATAATATATAACATATAATATATAATATATAATATATAACATATAACATATAATATATAATATATAATATATAATATATAATATATAATATAATATATAATATATAATATATAATATATAATATATAATATATAATATAATTGTGTGCATGTATGTACACATTGATATATATATATATGTTTATATATGTATGGTGCTTTCGAGCCCGATCCTCCATTTTGAGACGCGCCATGTGGACCATGACCCAAGGTACGGAAGCAAAGTTCGAAATTGAATCTCAGTGGGGTTGGAAAGCAGATATCTGCGGGCGAACAGAGGACTTGGGGAAGCGGAATCGTTGGGATTTGAGCATGGAATGTGAAAACCATCGGGATTATGCCATGTATATTCTGAAGATTGGGTGAAACTATGGTTTGGGTCGGTTGGCATGGTTTTGGATCACAGATGGCATTCTGGCCCTCTTCCCAATCACTTGATACATCCCTTCAAGGATCATCGGGAAGATTGGGAGTTGAAGACCTAGTGCAATGGCAAACTGCAACATGAGGAGGCATAACAGAAAAGCATCAGCTTACCAACAGTCCAGACGGCTCTGGGGTATATCTATGTGTCTTTGATAGTATAACATTGATTTGAAAAACCAAGGCTTTCTGGTGACTGCGAGGACTATATATCGACTAATCCCTTTTTCAACCATGGTTTGGCGCATATTTGGAACCATAGAATGGGGGGTGTCCATTATGAACGGGGCATGGGATTGCTACGAAACATTTTATGGGGATGTACTGAATATATCATAATGGGATATAAAAACATTTAGTCAGTACCCTCTGGTAAACGTTTACATAACTATGGACAATCACCATGCTATCAATGGGTAAATCCACTATTTCGACTGGGCCATGGCTTCAATAGCAAACTGTTAGTCATTACCAGAGGGTAATCCACGGCTGATTTCCTGTGATCTTTGATGGTTGGGACAAAAACGCGAGGACACCGAGGCCAAACGAGTTTGTTGCCCCTTGTGGGCCACAGCAGGGGCGCTCGGCTTTTTCTCTCCCTTTTCCCAAGGTGTGAATCAAGGGTTCCTTCTGCTGGGATGTTTTTGGAGGAAGGTCGTTTCGGACATTTCTGGACCTTGGGAGTTGGTACCCTCCGGTGTGCTGGGATTGTCCAGGCCAAAAACATGACGAGACCGGGTAAGCTTGGCCTTGATCGGGGTACCACTTGGAGGATCCCACTTAAGTTAGTTAGATCCAGTTAGCAAGTCCCCATTCAGTGAGGTTCTCGAAAAAAAGGTCGGTTATAACCCCGCCAGTTATGGGATGAGTCTTTAAGTATGGCCAAGTATTTCCATAGATCCTCTCATTTTTTTTTTACTTGTTCCGGTATTTGGCGGCCAATTCTTTCATCTCAGTTCAAGCGCAGTCGTTTCCCAAGGATTGTCAGGACACGCCTAGGGAGCCATCTGGGAGTCTGGCTTGTTGTCGTGCCGGGGATCTTTTTAGAAATGGGGATTGAAGCATCAAGGATTGAGTGCTAGAAAATGATGTAGTATTATCATTATTACTGTATCATGATTACTGTAATTATTATTGTTATTGTTATTTTATGATGATGATGATGATGATGATGATGATGATGATGATGATAAAGATAAATATGTTTGTTTTTGGGATTCTAATAGCATTTTAACGGGATTTATATAATTGTTTTTAATTGGATTTTGATGGGATTTCATGGGATGTATATAATGAGATTCAATGGCATATATGATGGTAGACCCTTTGGTGATTTGACATAGCTATGGAAGGCATGGCCTAGTTCAAGGATTTACCAACAAAAAAGTGTGGATGTTCAATAAGTATGTTGAATTATCAGAGGGACATTTCATTTGCATATTGATGTTCCCATTAAACTCTTCATTTATAGCGTATTTTCACTGCTATTTGTTGCGAGGAATTTTCGCATAGTCCATGGCTTCTTCGTCTCAATTTTGCGAAATGACGTGGTGTGTAGGCTGCATAACCAGAAAGCAAAAAAGCAAGACACACTAGATTGACGCTAGATGCTTCTCCGAAATTGGTGAGGTAATCGGATTCTTTCAGATTCAAGGTTTCCTTTAAGATGAATTGGCTTCCCACCCCTCCCTTGGAACTATGGCTAAAATATGCTTCCTCTGGGTTGAGACGGCAGAGCGTTTCATGTTCGAGGGTTCACCTTGGAAGTTGAGGATTTGCTGAAACGCTAGCCTCAAAGTGTAGCAGAGTCATCCTTTTGTTTCAGGATTGAAGGCCTCGAAGGTCGGGACACCACCCCACGTATTTTGCTGGCGGGCTACAGGTTCGATGAAGACAGCTGGAAGGTTATGGATTTTTTACAGCCTGGGTAGTCATGAAAAATCTGGATCCATGATCCATGATCCGCTTCGAATATGTTGATTAAGGAATTGCATTGCATTATCAGCATGCCAACAGAGCAGTTGCTAAATATGGTTTCCTCATTTGTGGAGAAAATGCTAAGCTTTGAGATCAGAGTTTCTAAAGCGTGAATCCACATTAAAAAGTCATGATTAGTTATTGATCCAAATCTAGATGGAATTGAAGGAAACTTCCCGCTCAAACACTTTGTTTCCCAAGCCATAATTTGCTGTCCTACAATGATTTGTCCTGCCTCCCACTTATACTGAATGACATTTATATAACTTCATTGAAATTGAGCCATTAGAACGAAAAAAGCATTTAATGGTGATTTTTCTATATCTGTCAAGTTATTCCGCAAGAAACTTCTGATCCCAATTGTGCTTAAAAATCCCTATCAGTCGTTGTCCAAGTCAGATTTTTGGGGGCTCCGCGACAGGATACTGACCCCTACTTCTTCGTCCGCATGGTGAAGGATTGCAAGCCTAAACAGGAGACCTGCTACAAGTATGACTCTTGGCTCATTTGGGTATGGGTCAATACCTATAGATACATTTTTAGTGGGATGAACATCCATTTACCAGCTATTTTGGGGTTCACTAGGTACCAGGGTTTTGACCCATCCCCATTTGACTCATGGAAGTGTTCAGCATTGGTTATTTAGATTCATGCGACAAGATTGCTTTCTTTTAAAATGGTCTTAGACTCTGGCCATTTTTTTTGGATGCGAGACCATGCCCTGGGGTTTTGACCCTGACCAAAGGTTGTGGATACTGGGCCCGTTTATTGAACCACCGGTGAAAGGCCAGTTCACTTCAAGTGAAGACCGGAAAGAAGTTCCCAAGATAGCATGAATTAGTGTGTATAATCCAGCAGAAGCCGTTTGGGGTACCATTCCAACCCAAGGTTTACCCAGTAAACAGTCACATGGCTTTTTTTCCGTTCCCCAGCCATATAGTTACCATAGTTGGGTGCTTTTTTTCTCATGAAACGCCTTCATAAATGGATTTCCCCTGGATTTCCCCTGGATTTCCCCTCTGCATCGAACTGAACTGAGGAATGCCATGACATCCTGAAAGAGTACAAGACAGCAGCCGGCTCAAAGGGTAGCTATGGACACCAAATGGTGGCAGAGTTTACATCAAAACTATGGTTGGGGATGTTTATCCTATATCCAATACATGTTTATATATATATGCATATATATACATTATATGTATATTCATGTAAACATGTATACACACAAATTTGATATACTAAACCAAAATATAGCAAACCATAATACATTACAACATGATAAAATATGTATAATAGAACAACATATCATATCATAAACTACATAAGACAAGATATAATAGAATAAAGTAAAGTAACATGTAATATACCAAAAATAAAAATGATAAACATCATACAATAAGGCAACATATTTCATTATATTAGATTATTAAGGGGCTACGCCCCCTGCCGCCGACCCCAGGCAGGGTAGCTCGGGGCGGCGAGCGGGGGGCGGTAAACTGCTAAATACTCGTCGAGCTGATTTACCTTGTTCTGTTTTTTCTATCCAATCTTTTGGAGATCCCAAAATTTATATAATTTGCCGCCTGTGACGCGTCTCCCTGAAGCACTGGCCAGACTCAACCTGAGGCACCAGGGCCAAGTGGCCAAGAATAGAGACTTCACAAAGGTTATTTGGAAACAAACGTGTGAAGTTTTGAAGATGTGCATATGCATATTACACATATATATATATATATGTAGCCGCGGACACGTTGGAAGCATACGCGGCTGTTGGCAATGTCGCCAGTGCGCGGAACGCAAGCCACGAACAGAGTTTACAGCTTGGCAACAAGGTCGTGAATATACTCAAGACGGCACACAAGTATGCAACGCATGCACAGCCTTTGCCTTCGTTTGCCGTCTTGCTCATCGCACGAATCAACGCCTGGCCCGCTTGCGCCAACGCGAAACCCGCCACCGTCACGCAGCAATCCTAGAGGACGTTCGCAAGGAAATTCAGGAAACACACGAAGCAAGACAAACTTCCACGCGAGCAGAAGCTCCCAAAACGGACACTGCCCACGCATCGAACCAGCAGCTTGCTGTCGGGCCTGACACGGTTACGCCACAACTGTACACATACATCTGCCCACACTGCGCCAAATCTGTGCAAAGCAAAGTGGCAACAGGACAAATCGATCACCGCCGAGGTGATGGTTGCGGCCACAAATTTCGCGTTGCAAATGGCTTGCTTGCAGGTCGCACGCATACGCACACGTGTCCGACATGCAGCGCGGTGGTGCATTCAACAAAAGCTTCCGGCCGAATTCAAGTAACTCATCGCACTCCCAACGGAAAGCAGTGTCCCACCAACCACTGGCACGTGCATAGTTGATGGAACCCTCCGGGCAACGGCTCCCACTGCCTAACGTTGCTTTCTGAACCTACAAGAAAACTAGCTCTCTTCCAGCCGTCAAGGCTCACAAACGGCGCCCTCGCCACAGCAAAACAGCAGGGCCTTGAAGGACGGACCGAGCCTCCGGGCAACGGCTCCCACTGCCTAACGTCGCTTTCTGAACCTACAAGAAAACTAGCTCTCTTCCAGCCGTCAAGGCTCACAAACGGCGCCCTCGCCACAGCAAACCAGCAGGGCCCTGAAGGACGGACCGAGCCTCCGGGCAACGGCTCCCAAACTAGCTCTCTTCCAGCCGTCAAGGCTCACAAACGGCGCCTCCGCCACGCCCAAACAGCAGGGCCCTGAAGGACGGACCGAGCCCCCGGGCAACCGCTCCCACTGCCTAACGTTGCTTTCTGAACCTACAAGAAAACTAGCTCTCTTCCAGCCGTCAAGGCTCACAAACGGCGCCCTCGCCACAGCAAAACAGCAGGGCCCTGAAGGACGGACCGAGCCTCCGGGCAACGGCGCCCACTGCCTAACGTTGCTTTCTGAACCTACAAGAAAACTAGCTCTCTTCCAGCCGTCAAGGCTCACAAACGGCGCCCTCGCCACAGCAAAACAGCAGGGCCCTGAAGGACGGACCGAGCCTCCGGGCAACGGCTCCCACTGCCTAACGTCGCTTTCTAAACCTACAAGAAAACTAGCTCTCTTCCAGCCGTCAAGGCTCACAAACGGCGCCCTCGCCACAGCAAAACAGCAGGGCCCTGAAGGACGGACCGAGCCTCCGGCCAACGGCTCCCAAACTAGCTCTCTTCCAGCCGTCAAGGCTCACAAACGGCGCCTCCGCCACGCCCAAACAGCAGGGTCCTGAAGGACGGACCGAGCCTCCGGGCAACGGCTCCCACTGCCTAACGTTGCTTTCTGAACCTACAAGAAAACAAGCTCTCTTCCAGCCGTCAA